GAACATGCTCCAAACATTTGATCAAGATAATATGATGAAAGAGATCAGTGGAGAAACTGTCCATATGGCAAGAATGCTGAATTTAGAATTTGATAACACCAATGAACAGCTCATAGATCATGAAAAAGGTGAATTGAAAGATCAGGACTTAATGGATTTTGAACAGGAAAGAAATGCTAAAGAAGAGAGAGTTGAGAGTTAATGAGGAAGAGGAAAGAGAAGCTGTCAAAAAAATTTAGAGTGAAAGGATTAGGTAGTTTTTTCTGAACTAAGTCACTTGTTTGAAAACACGGACCCAAACGCTGATTGCTTTGCTACAATCAGTAGGCAGATTCAGGAAGCAGTGAGATGTTACCACGAAATATTTGAAGGAAACAAAAGAAGGACCATACAGACAACTCTCACTAATTTTCTGGCTAGAAACACTGTCCCCATTACCAGGGGTAATCCAGATGATCCAGAACCTTACACAAGTGGAGTTATTACTGCAGCTGACAAAATGCCAGTGTTGTTCAACTCTTCTTCATTGTTGGAGTAAATTTTTATGATTTGTGGATTTTTTTACATATGTGTGTATGTGTTAAAATATATCTATAAGCGTACATGTAATGTTACCAATCCCCAAAGACAAATAAAGATCGGATTTTTAAAGATATTGATAATAAAAGGCAATAATAATGAAAACTAAAAAAAAAAAAAAAGACATGAGGTATTCGACTTAAGTCAGAACTTACGACAGAGTTGTCGGAATGGAACCCCGTCATAAGTCGGGGACTACCTGCAATGCTACTTACACCCAGTTTGTCCTGCACTTTGAAAACTCCATACTTTTGTTAGTTCTTTCCCTCTGCCTGGAATGCCTTTTCCTGATATGTTGAGCTGGTGGACAGTTATTCTTCAGGGCTTAGTTTGAAATGCTGCACTATGTCTGGGATCATTGATAGTGAACTGGGGATCCAAGAGACATGTTCAGTGAATAGTACTATGTATATGATTTCATAGAAATTTCTGATGTTTAAAAAACAAAAAACCACACCACTGCATCATAGGGCTCTAAGAAGAGTTGAAATATTTTCATGTAAATTAATTTTCCTTTTCCTCTGCTTTTCTTTTCAGCATAGTACTTATTCTGGCATACTGTAAATATTTTGTTGTTTATTGCTTCCCCACCCTTGTAGATTCCACAAGGTCAGGGGTTTTCGTCTGCTCTGTTCACCGCTATATACTCAGTACCTACAAGAGTGCTTGTCATATAGTTGGTGCTTCATAAGTACTGAGTGAATGAATGAATGATGGAACAAACAAAGAGCAATCAGTACACAAAAGTGTATTTTAGTCTTTTTCCATATGTCTTAGATAGATCCCTATTACACTGCCTTGTATATTGGTGGCACTCAATGCATGTTGATTTAATTTTCTAAAACAGAAGTTGGCAAAATTTTTCTGTAAAGGAACAGGTAGTAAATATTTTAGGCTCTGCAGACCTTATATGTTGCATATTCTTTTATGTTTTTGTTCTAAAACCCTTTAATAATGTAAAAACTATCTTTAACTTGGGAATCATACATAAACAGACCTTAGGACAGATTTGGACTGGGGCTGTAGCTTATTCCTCTTAACAAATGAATGTTGTAATATTATCATGTGATGCAAAGAAAGGAATGCAGTGGACAGATGATTTTGGAAAACACTATCTTTTGTTTTCCTTGATTATTGATTAGCTCAGAATTTCTATGAATCTGATATATTAATGTCTACTATTAATAACTGAGGATATTATACATACTGATATATATGTATATATAACCTGTTTCCATCGAGTCCATCTCAACTCATAGCAATCCTACCGGACAGAGTAGAACTGCCCCATAGGGTTTCCAAGGAGCAGCTGGTGGATTCGAACTGCCGACCTTTTGGTTGACAGCTGAGCTCTTAACCACTGTACCTCCTAAGAAAAAATATAAAATAGAAAAAAAGCATATACATATATATACACTTACATGTATACGCTTTTTTCCTATTTTATATTTTTTCTTAGGAGCTTCTTGAGGCACAAAGGGCTTTGTGAAAAATGCTTTAGGAAACTGATTTTTTTACTTTGCCTTCATTTTGGAAGGATGTTTTTGCTGGATATAGAATTCTGTGTTGCAGTTTTTTTCTCTTGGTAGTCTAAAGATGTTCCTTTAAAAAAAATAACTTTATTGAGATACAATTTAAATACTATAAAATTCACCCATTAAAATGTACAGTTCAGTGGTTTTTAGCGTATTTATAAAAACCTGTGCAACAGCTGTTATTATCTGCTTTTAGAACATATTTATCACCCCAAAATAAATCTCCTACCCATTAGCAGACACTCCCTACTCACCACCCATCAGCTGTAGGAAACCACTAATCTATTTTCTGTGTCTATATATTTGCCTATTCTGTATATTTCATGTAAATAGAATCATAAAATATGTGGTTCTTTTGTGACTGACTTATTTCATTCAGCATAATATTTTCAAGGTTCACCTATATTCATGCATATTAGTATTTCATGCCTTTGTATTCTCAAATAACTAACATTCGATTGTGTGTACGTACCACATTTTTTAATGCATTCATCAGTTGATAGTTGTTTCCACTTTTTCACCATTGCGAATAATACTGCTGTGAACATTTGTATACAAGATTTTATGTGGATATGTGGTTTCATTTCTCTTGGGTTCATTTCTACCATGGAGTAGAACTGTGGGTCATACAGTAACTCTATATTTAACCTTTTGAGGAACTGCCAAACTGTTTTCTACATTGGCTGCACTGTTTTACATTCCCATCAGCCATGTATGAGAGTTCCGATTTCTCCTTGCCAACACTTTTTATTGTCTGTCTCTTTTATTGTAGTCATCCTGTTGTTGTTGTTAGGTACCGTCGAGTCAATTTAGACTCATACCAACCCCATGTAACAGAATAGAACTGCCCCATAGGATTTTCTAGGCTGTAATCTTTATGGGAGCAGAACGCCAAGTCTTTTCTCTTACACCTAATTCAAACCTGTAACCTTTCAGTCGGCAGCCCAGTGCTTAACCGTTTTGCCACCAGGGCTCCTTATAGTCATCCTAGTGGGTATAAAATGGTATCTCACAGTGGTTTTGATTTTCATATTCCTAAGGACTAATGATGTTGAGACTAAGTCTTGAACGTCTATTGTTAATTCATTTATACAGGCAGTCTCCAGATTACAAACATCCAACTTGTGTACAACCCGAAGTTATGAATCAACCCCTGTAAAGCCTATTACAATAAAAATTCGAAGTCCATAAAATGGTTTGAATAAAAAACAGGTACTACTTTTCAACACACATCAAAACATTGTTATTAGTAGTACTGTATTATTATGTTAAAGATGTTTTAGTGTATCTGAAAGTGTTTCTTTAATGTTTTTTATGCATCAAAACCCAAAAATAAATAAATAAAATCAAACCTGTTGCTGCCAAGTTGATTCCAGTTCATAGCAACCCATAGGATTTCCAAGGAGCGGCTGGTGGATCTGAACTGTTGACCTTTTGGTTAGCAGTCAAACTCTTAACCATTGCATCACCAGGGCTTCATGCATAGAAAGGTACACTGTATACTATATGCTAAGACAAACATTTGACTGACGTTAGATATGAACCATACTTAACTGTTCCGACTTAAGTACAACTCCGACTTAAAGACAGACTTAGGAATGGAACTCATTTGTAATCTGGGAACTGCCTGTAAATATATCATTCTTTTTAATGCTATTGAAAATGAAATTGCTTACATAATTTTACTTTTGGATTGTTCATTGCTAGTGTATAAAAATATGATTAATTTTTGTATATTGATAGAGTATCCTGCAACTTTGATTAGCCTGTTTATTAGTTCTAGTTGTTTTTTAGTGGGTTCCTTAGGTTTTTTATATATAAGATCATGTCATCTGTTAAACAGAGATCGTTTTACTTCTTCCTTTCCAATCTGGATGCCTTTTGTCCCATGGGTTTTGATGAGAAGTCAGCAGACATGCCAGTTATTGTTCCTCTGTATGTGTTTTTCTCTGACTGCTTTTAATATTTTTTCCTCATTTTTAATTTTCAGCTGTTTATTTATAATATGACTAGGTTTGTTACTTTTGTTATTTATCCTGGTGGGTGTTCTCTGAGCTTCTTGAATTTATATCTGTTGATTTCAGTTATACACATTAGACCTTTTGCTATTGTCCCACAGATCCCTGAGGCTCTGTTAATTTTCTTTTAGTCTTTTTTTTCTTTCTGTTCTTCACTTGAACAATTCCTGTTAATTTATCTTTAAGGTCACTGACTCCCCTCTCAATTTCATTCTGTTATTAGAACTATACAGTGAATTTAAAATCTTCCATATTCTACCTTTCAGTTCTAGAATTTTTACTTGGTGTATTTTTTTATATTCTCTGTTTCTCTGCTAAGGTTTCTTCTTCAATCATTGTGTACATAACACCTACTGCCATCTGGGACGTCTTGTCCCTCTTGATTGTGTTTTCTCTTGAAACTACTTCATATTTTCCTGGTTCTTTTATAATAAGTAATTTTGGATTGTAATGTGGACCGTGTTGTGGAGACTGGATTTTGTTATATTCCTTTGAAGAGTGTTGATTTTTGTTTTGTTTTTCCTTTAATAGGTAATTATCTTGTTTGGACAAAACTACAAACTCTCTCTTAGGTGGCAGCTCAGATTTCAGTTCAGTTTTTTGTCTTTAACTAGGCTTCTTGTAATAGGTCCTGTGTGCGCATGGTTCAGAGATTAGACAGTGATTTGGTCAGGGAAACTTGGGTTATTTTAAAGTAGCTTAATTGGTATGAGCATTTTTAACTTATTGTTTTAGTAGAATTCCTAGATCTAAGAATCATAGTTTTAATAGCTGGAAATAATTATAGGTAAATAAATTCCAGTCTCTTATTTTGACAATTAAATAAAAATCTGTTTATTTAATTCTTTTATCTTTTTCTTTATTATAGATCGAGCTGGGAGCATCAGTACCCTTGATTCCTTAGACTTTGCAAGATATTCAGATGATGGTAACAGGGAAACTGATGAGAGAGTGGCAGGTGAGTAAGATCGTAAAGACAGATTGATCTGGATTCTTTGGCATTCTAGAAATAATAAAATAGCTTGAAGAATATTTACTTCTATAATTTGATATGTGAATGTAATGTATCTAGTTATACAAAAGATACATTACTAACTTTTTGGCTGGAGGGAACATCTTACCCCAACTTCCTCTTCCAGTGGTGCTGTGAATTTCTGGTTATGAGCACATACAATTTTCTGAGTTCTGCTTACAGCCAACATTATGCAGTTGTAATAACTGGTGCCAAGTTTAAGTTAGCCATGGTATGGTACAAAGTTAGTTGGACCTGAGCCTTATTCTTTTGATCCTCCAAACAAGGGCTGATATTCAGGTGTTATATACCAGTACTACTATACTGGCAGTTAAAAATTGGTTGAAATACTTCCATGTTGGTTGGCAGATAAAACTGTTGCCTTGAGTTCACTGGGTACTCCCCAGGTATCATAACCTTTCCTCTTGACCTTCCTATTATCCAGAAAATAAAGGGTTAATATTTGGTACAGCAGGGACTTCTAGGATCCTCTCCATTCCTATAAGAAGACCAGCATCCTTGTAACTGAGTGGTTGCTCATTCCAATCTCCTTCCTCCTCCCTACCCCATGTCCTAGGCATCATCATTGGGTCTTAGGGACTTCAAAGGACCAATTTGTGCCCCATGTGCACTACCCACACCAGACAAGCCTCATTGGGCTCTGCTAGGAGTCCATCCTAGAATTTGCCAGTGTAGCAGCCCTGGCTCCTTTCTGGTCTTGTGGCTACCCATCACTGAAGTCATTCTTGAGTAGCTTATAGGAACTGTCGTTTTCATAGGACTTTCTGACTGAGCAAGATGGTATTTTGGGTTCCATCGAATGATGGACACTCTTGGAACAAGAGGAATGCCATGTGGGACAGATGGAGCCTGTCGGGGCAGTATAGGGCTAGAAAACATCCCCTCTTGACCAACTCTGTTGAATTTTTCTTCCACTTATTGAAACAAGTATGTTAAACCTACCACATCCTTACAGTCATGTTCATTATGAATTGTTCATTATGAATAAAACTGAGTGCTAATTATTATATAGCACTTGCTCCATTCTAAACACTGTTCTAAATGTATTTTGACTCATTTGAGTTACAGAATTATCATCCTCTTTCTTTTTATACTGATGAGGAAACTGAGGCACTTAGGGGGATTTAAGACTTCAGTAGTAGAGCTTGGGTTAAAATCCAGGTAGACCAGCATCAGAGCCCCCGATTGCACCATATGCTATCTCTTAGCATGAAGGATTAGGTTTGACCTAATTATATATGAATTCTAATATATGATTTTCATTCCTTGATTGGGACTAGAGACTGAATATTTTAAAATCTCAGGTAGTATTATATGTTAGAAAAAAAATGATGTTGTTTTGAGTTCAGCAGAAGTTGAAAAAACGATTCAGCAATGTAAGCAAGCAATAACAATGTCAATTTAGTAGAGAAGTTACTAGAAGAATTTAATGTGACTCCCTATATCAAATCATGGCTTAATCAAAAACGTCATTTTTGACAGCTGTATCAAAACAGAAAATATCATCAGCAATATCTGAAAATTAGCACATCAAATGGAAATTATTTGAATAATTTTATGACTAATTTGTCTTAATTACATCACTTGCTAAGTGATATTATAAATTATATATTTTACGTTAAATATTAAATGTATGCTATTTAATTGAGGAGGAGCCATGGTGGCGCAGTGGTTAAGGTGCTTGGCTGTGAAATAAGAGGTCAGCGGTTTGAAACTACCGGCTACTCCATGGGAGAAAGATGTGGCAGCCTGCTTCTGTAAAGATTTACACTTTGGAAACACTATGGGGCCGTTCTCCTCTGTCCTGTAGGGTTGCTATGAGTTGGAGTCAACTCGATGGCAGTGGGTTTGGTTTTTTGGTTTGGATGAATGGTAAATAATGCCTTCGCAATAAGAAATAATGCATTACAGTGGTACTTTTCAAGAGACCCAAACTCCTGTAAGTTTTTCTTACTCCGCATTCAGTCTTAGGGCCTGATCGTTGCTTCCACGTGTAGGAGGTGGAATGCACTTCTATAAGCAGTTCTGCAATATTCCAGGGCAACTGTTTCTGCTTCTTAGCTGTTAGTAATGCTTTTGTTATAATGAAGAATACATAGTAATGGTAATTTTCCTGAGATTCAAATTCCTGTAGTTTTATATGTTTGGCCTGTAAGTATTGCTTTTGCAGTAAGGAAGAATGCATTGTACCATATTTTGAAAAGTTTTATGAAAAATAATAAAAAGGCTAAGAAGGAGACTAGAATAAAATATATGTGCAGTCATTGCCAGATAACTTCATGTTTTACAAATTTTCAAGAAATGGGAAAAAAAAAAAAGATTTTGTTCTTGACTCATGTCGCACTACGTCCAGGGTCTGCTGGGACACATGTGATCCCACATAATGTGGATCAAAATCTATTACTCATAACAAAAATTCCGAATTTGTCCTTTAATCAGCATGCCTTCGTTAGTGAAAACATAGCATCAACAAAAAATTCAAAGGAGAAAATAATTGGATCTTGAAAGGGTTAACTGAGAGAATAAGTATATTAATTTGTATTATTGTACAGATTGTTATGTATTTGAAAATAACTCCTACCTAGAAATTGGCCACATAATTATATTCTTTCCTTTAGTAACCATTTGAAAATTTGCGTTTTAGACTTAGCCAAATTCAGGAGATTCATTGGTATTCTTGTTATTTATTTTAATACTTCTAATTAGGTGAAACATTATTGATTAAAAAGCAAAATCTTTAGCTAAAATTTGTAATAATTGGCTTGCACAATCTCTAATTATTCATGGCAATATAGGTAGAAAAGGAGAAGAAGATAGAAGTTCCTGTGTCCAAATGTCACTATTTACATAACATTTTCATTCCCCATCTAACATTTTGTTAGAACTTAAGAGTAAAAAGTTTGACTGATCCTAACTTTGAACTATTGAGCCCAATGGAAAAAGTAAAGCAGGAAGAGAATGAAGAAACAGCAGTGGACCTGGATAAATACAGACTACATAACTAAGAGTAAAATAAAATGTATTAAATATGTGGCAGTTTTGACCTTACACTTTTAATCTTAAGAATATACTATGTCTCTAGATTTGTGGAAATAAAGTAATTTTTAATTACTGTAGTATGTTCACATATAAATAACTGTTCATCTTCATTGGAAAAGGGAGGAAAAACATACCTTATTCAAAGACCATAACTTTAAAATTTTTTGTGCTCTTCTACCATATTCTTTCATTAAATCAAATGAGTTAGTATGTGGTAGATGAAACTTTACAAAAAAGTTTCAAAAAACCAGTCATAATTCTCATTTCCTAAAATATTTTTGACTCTTTGCTAACCATTGGTAGGAACTTAAAAGCTTGTAAAAATGTAGAGTCTTTTTCAATGTTTTAATCAGCTTTTGCTATTTATGAGACAGATATTACATTTGTTTTCAGGGTTACTATTGCCATCTTTCTCCTATGCTTAAAAATCTGATTATTTTTTCTAGTGTGTACAGATTTCCTTTCAAAGAGGAAATTGATCTCCAAAGGAACAAATACTTTTGAGCATCTGCTCTGTTCAAGGCACTGGGCTGGGTGCTTTATATACAATATTTTATTTAATCCTGTTACTAATCCTGCAAAATAGGTCATAATGTCATTATTTTATAGATGAGTAAAGTGAGGCTTAGCAAACTTGAGAAATTTGCCTGGTAGCCTCCATATGGTAAGAAGCAAGACCAGGAGGTAAACACACGGTTTTTATTCTAGAGCCCACAAGGTATCTTTTAGTAACAGGCTGCATCTCTGACCCATTATACATTCAGTTCATATGGATAGCAGAATTTTGTCTTTCCCATGCGAGACTATTTCAGTATGGCCCTTTTCCTTTAAAAGAAGTAAAATTTTAAAAGCTTTTCATTTTAGAGATTTTCCATTTCTGAACTTATTTTTCATATGAAGTATAAATTTTCATATAAAAATGATTTACATCAAAGCAGACATCAAATCAAAATAAGCATGATCTAGCTGGGTTTTTGTCATAAAGGATTTTCTGTATGTTATTAAACAAAGCTAGTATTACCGAATGTATATACAATATACCTCTTAGATTGTTGAGTTTCCTTTAAGGTAGCAAGGGGGATCTATATTCTGACTTTTGGGATTGCCATTCTTTAATCCATTTAGGCATTTTGAGCATCTGCTATATGTTAGGTACTATGTAAGGCACTAGTTATACAAATATGAAATAGATAAGGAATTCTCTCAAGGAATTTTTGATAACACGTATGTCAGTAATATGCATATGTATGCAGTGATTTGGGAACTGTAATAAATAGTTTGTTAATTTTGGGTAGGAAAGCATCAGGGAGAAGCTCACATTTGAACTGGGACTTGATGGATGAATAGGAATTTTTTTATAGAGAGGAGCTGGAAGAAATCACATAGGCAAAAGACACCAGGCTGTGAAAGGTCCTGTCATGTTTGGGGCATAACAAGCAGCTAGAGTCAGTGAAAATATTAACTGTATAGTAGGAAATAACTGGACATTAATCTGGAATGATAGACTGAGACCATGTTGAGTAGGTGCCTATAGGTATTTTGTAGATATTTAGGAACCGTCAAAAATTTTTAAGTGAGGGAGTCATGTGGTAAGATTGGTATTTTAGAAAGACAACTAAAAGTATGGAGAATGGACTGGTGGGAAGGTGTGGAGCAAGAGAGAATCCAGTTAGGAAAGGATTGCCATAGTGTTGGCAAGAGATGATCAGGGCCTGTTGGTCAGTGACAAGTTGAAGGAGAGGGTTACAAAAAGGTAAATACCACTTTTGATCATCCAGTTGAGTGTTGTTATTTTGAATCAACCATCTTTGTTGATTCTCTTTCTGGGGGAATTTCTTCTTTATAACCTATTTTCTTGTATCAGCACATATTTTGCCATATTTTGT